CTGAATGCCGAAAGAGTCTTGCTTTCGTGTTGAGTTATTATTCTTACTGGTCAATTAAACATTGCAATTATTAAGGTTTTCAATTCATTCACGATAGTGAACTTCATTAAGCTCAAAGCAAAAGCCTTTTGATGAATCCGTCAAATGATATCAGAGGAACCCTAAACTCAATCATTGATCATTTCATAAAATGATTGGATGTTAACGACTTTGGAGAAAAATACAAAATTGTAGTTGATTTTCTTTGCGGAAGAACACAAATCAGTGAAGAGACACACCCTTTCCTTGAGGCAAAAATGTTGGGCAAGCATTATCCAAAAGTATCTTGAACAGGCACGCTTTACACTGCACAACTTTTACAGTCTGATATAATGTGGCTTTTCATCTACGCTTCAATCAAGACCCTCAGTGTTGAACTTGAAGTGATTGGAGAGCAAAGTGTCAGGAAGGTTCTGACGGAGCCACAGAAACAGAAGTCCTGTGAACTCAGCGAGTCGAGCTCCTCCACAGTTACTGGTTTTAATTGAGCGTCTAAACTCAGTCTGTGCTCTCAGGACTGTGAGCTGCTGCAGATAAGAGCGTCCGGCCAGCTGCATGTACAGATGATGATGATGACAGGTGTTGATATCTGTCTCTGTCTGCTGCTTCTGTCTTCTCTTCACGAGCTGTGACATCTAGTGCAGAGAGACAAAGAGGAGAATCTGCTGCTACCCAAAAACCCTCCTGGCTTCCTGTCAGAGCCAACACTTCCTGTCTGACGGCCTCCTGATAGAATCCAGAGGAGACCGGACTCTTCCAAAGGTTTATCAGCAGCACGCAGCAGCAGCACAATTACACCACAATCTACAATGGAAATGATGACTGGAACCAGCTTCTGGACATTTACATAACTCATAATGACTGTCTCTCTCTCAGCGTCTCCGCTTCATTTTCTCTCTCTTCCATCCTGCAGCTTTATTCTCAGCTCCGCAGTTAAACCTGTTAGCTGGTGTGACACAGAGCAGAAGGATTCCCTCACTTTGAATTCACACTGATGTGATTTCCAGGACTGTTGGCAGATTTAAGTTAAACAGAGATTAGTGATGGAAACATTGTGTTTCCTTCCAAAGCAGCTCGACAAACACAAACATCTCCACTTCCTGCCAACACGCCTCCATCTTCACAGTAAACAGACAAACACCTCCTCACTTTCCAGCAAAACAAGTCCACGCTTTTAGATTGTTTTAGATATCAATGGGGGGAAATAAAAAATGCATTGCACCATTATGTGGGCAGAAGAAATGGTCCTGGATGGAAGATAAAGAACCTACTTTTTCCTTAAGAGGCTAACAGTGCCAGAGAGGGCAGCTATCATGCAAATTACTCCAGACATCAAAGTACGTGATGTTTTTCCACTGGAGCTTGTTGACAGCAGATGAGTGGAGAAGTGGAACTTGTTGGGAGTAATCAGGCAAGACAGCGACGCTCTGAGCCGACACGGTGGTCAAACTTAACGGAGCATGTGAAAAAACAACGTGGCGTTCCTGCTGCTTTTGTTCCACAGTCTCCCCGCGGAGCGAGTCAAACCAAGCATGCCGTGAGAGCAGATGCTGCCACCATCAACTCATTTAACGATTTCAGATGGAGCTGCTTAAAGCGTCCTCAAAAACAAACTAAAGCAAAGAAAAACAACCATTCAGCCGCGATGCTCCGAGTTTAGGAGGAGGTGATTCTCGTCGTGAATTCATTTACTGGAGACAGTGTGCAGCAGAAGTGTGGCGACAAATCTCTGAGCCGTTCCTGGACACTTTATGCTAATCTGCTTTATCATTTGCTTACATTTGCCATTTAATGGTTTCAGATGGAGCTTTAGTTGCTTCTCGAGCTCCTCAAAAACAAGGGGAAATAAAAACAGTTGTTCATCCTTGATAACTGAGCTCTAGGAGGACGTGGTTCTCTATTTATTATATGCAGTGAATACATTTGTTCAGCAGAAGTGTGGGGACAGATCCCCGAGCCGTTCCTGGACACTTTATGCTAATCTGCTCTTGTATTTGCCCTTGATGGAGCGACTGCACTGCACCCTCAGGCATGTTGGAGAAATGTTAGCATTGATCTGATGTGTTGTCTTCTAGCTGCGATCTGTGTCACAGCTACAGCCAGCAGACATTCATGAGCTCTGTCATCCAAGACAGCAGAAAGAAACAGGGCTGCAGATGCTCTCATTGATAGTTTGTTCGCATAAGGGCCTATGCCTTGACTTTAAAAAGCATCTGTTTTTCCCATTTTCATATACAGATATTCATCCCTGCTACGTGCAGAGTGGAGAGGTGCAGGATGCAGCTGTGACTGTGAAAAGCCCCCAAATTATTTTCTACACTTCAAGGATTTATACATTGTTTTATTCACTGAAAGATTCGGTTTGCAGCTTAAAAACGTGTCATTGCCATCATTTAGCATGGCTGTTTTTATTTGGGCATAAAAAACAGACTTACCACAGGATGTGTGCTCAGTTACAACCACAGATCTGAATGTCTAACTAGCTTAACTGGATATACACTGAACAAAAATATAAATGCAACACTTTTGTTTTTGCTCCCATTTTTCATGAGATGAATTCAAAGATCTAAAACATTTTCTATATTCACAAAATAACCATTTCTCTCAAATATTGTTCAGAAATCTGAACAAATCTGTGATGGTGAGCATTTCTCCTTTGCCGAGATAATCCATCCCACCTCACAGGTGTGGCATATCAAGATGCTGATTAGACCCCCCAGACCCCCCCAATAAAGCAAAACTGCACGTTTCAGAGTGGCCTTTTATTGTGGCCAGCCTAANTCCTTTATAACCTCCTTTAGCTTAGGAACCACTGGACCTCCCTCACCGAAAGGAGAGGAGAAAATGCTTCCCCACAATGCCTTGCAGCCGCAGCATTTACCGTCACACAACAGTCAGCAGTTCACGGAAACAAACGATTATGACGGAGAAATTATATCATGAAAGTTACGGTGCTTATTAAGCATTTTAAAACGTATGTGGTACTTGCCAGAATGCTTTGTTTTGAACGTTCATCAGTATTATAATCAAAAAGAGAAATATGAACGTTAGTTTTTACTGAAATGATCAAATAAAGTCAACATTTCACTGAGCTGTGTGGGGTTTGTTCAACTTTTAAAAGATGTTTGAATGGTGATATACACACGATAAAGGAAATGGTCAAATTCGGCCCTGATCGTAGCAACATCGGGCCATTCGTGAGGGCATCTTAGCCATCTTTGGCATGCCAAAGATTTTGCCACCGCTCCCGAAGTTGCTGCCGGAGCCTGATAAATTCCACCGGCGGGCATACGATGGCTTAAGATGCCCTCACGAATGCCTTACGAAGGGCAAAATGGACACACGAAGTCAACACGAAAATGAACCTTCACAAGGTCCTTCGGCAATGCTTTGTGATGCCAAAGATTTTGCCACCGCTCCCGAAGTTGCTGCCGGAGCCTGATAAATTCCACCGGCGGTCATACGATGGCTTAAGATGCCCTCACGAATGTCTTACGAAGGGCAAAATGGACACACGAAGTCAACACGAAAATGAACCTTCACAAGGTCCTTCGGCAATGCTTTGTGATGCCAAAGATGTTGCCACCGCTCCCGAAGTTGCTGCCGGAGCCTGAGAAAATCCACCGGCGGTCATACGATGGCTTAAGATGCCCTCACGAATGGCCCGATGTTGTTACGATCAGAGCCGAATTTGAACATTTCCTTAATCGTCCAGGTCGGCCTATAAAAATACGTCAGAACTGCACCACTCTCTGGATGTTTGGAAGTGGGGTTGACTGAATTATTACAGTAGATGGTGATCAACCAAGTTCAAGGAGAACCAGCACATAATCTAAGCTAAAGGATAGGGGCAACAGCAAAACTTATTTTAGCCCCCTTAGAAAACCCACATCAGTTTAAGTGTTCACTTTCCACTTGCCCTTTCTGTCAGACAGCCCTTTCTGATGGGGAACTGAAGCCAAGGATCTCTTCAAATCCAGAATGCTGGAGTTGCTGGTCTACCACTGCCACAATACATTTATTTTCGATCCTTCAACATTTTTTATAGGGTTAGTTTATATTTACACAATAACACAAACAAACGTACTGATCAAGGCAGAAGTAGACGAGCAACTCCAATGTTCTGGTAAAGTTACAGTTTGCACAGCTTCAGTTAGCAATCACAATGGGCTGACAGCAGTGGTACAAATATTCAAAATATAGTGTCCGCTTAAATTGATCCTCATTTTCTTTGGTGGCTAAAATGTGTTTTGCTTATGTCCTCGTCCAACATTGTGTTTCTCCAAATGAAAACAGCTCATACAACCCTCGGAAATATCCCTTTAACTTGATTTAATTAAAGACAGTTTAAGGCCATGCACGAGTTGGGAATCCTAGAGAGTACAATGAAATAGTGCTGACTATGAAAAAAAGTGAACTAAAATTGAACTAAAGCTGAGATTTTACGATAATGCCATTATCACAGGAAGCTGGCTGCAGCTTGCATGCAGCGACTAAATTACTGCTCAGCAGTCACAACAATGCAGTGAGTCTGTAATACCATGGCAACACTGATGGCATGGGTTACTTTACATGGCTGTCAGAAATGCAGACTTTGAAAGGCAGGTGGTGTTAGAATGCACACAGATGGACTGTAAGCCAGCCTGCACTGTGATGGAGACAGCAGAGGGAGTTTAGGGTGACATGCATAAAAGGATTCATCCGCAAGAGAATGAGTTAGGCTTTTCATACTGACTATTCTGCAGCAGATGCTCTTTGAACAGAGGAAATGCTCAAATATATCTTACCTCTTTTGCAAAGCAAGGTCAATCTTATGAAAGCGCTAAGATATGTCTGCAATGTCTTTCTTTAAGCAAGCGGACTGTTGAGTGTTATGTCAAACTGTCACAGGGTTTCATTTCTACATTTGGATCGGCCTGACATTTTTGGGCACCTTGTTTTCCCTGTGCTAATATTCTTACCGTTACCCGACTGTTGCTGCTTTGGCTTCCTCCCAGTCTGTAGTTGTTGTAGGCCAGATGGCTGTATGGGTTGTACCCTACAAACCCGGAACTGTTGGAAATTTGCTGATGGAAATAGATGAGAATATGAATGAGAAATGACAGTAAAGAAGTAAAAACAAATGACAAAAAATGTAAAGAAACCAATAAAAGAAGCAGGAAAATTGCAAATTAAGGAAACTTGCATTCATGCTGAGGCTATAAGGAAGTCATCTTTCAAAAGCAGTTATGTACCACAGGTTGTGCATTCAACAAAAAAGCTGAATCTTTGAAAACATATTTTAAACATCTATTAAATGCGTGTTCTTAAATGAGGTTTCAAACGCAAAATCATATTAACGCGGGAAACCAAGATACTATATGGTGTTATTTAGAAAGTCTTACTGTTGTAGGGGCAGGAGGGGGGAGCGGGGCATGGGATGGCCTCTCTGTTGTAAAAGGAAAGGTCCAAATGAACAGCAGGTCATTTCCAGTTCTCCAACTTTAGTCTTAGCTATTCTCCAGTGATGTCTTCTAAAAAAACTGTATTACTAAGTGAAATTAATAACATTTAGACCTTACTCAATTTGCAAATAATTGATAAATAAATTGTTATTATTAAGTGCTATGATATATCACTTAACATGGGAACAGCAGGTCTGATGTATTTTAGGTTTTATTATCATCAGAAAGCTCAGCTAGGCAAAACACTCTCAGATCCTTACTTGACATCTTTGCAGTCAGGAGTAGGTATCAGTCTATTCCAGTCATGAGCTCTGTAATAAACACATTTCACATTAGTATGATATAATTGTGTGTGTAGTAATGAGATGTATCGTGTGGACAAGGTGTTTCATACAGAACACAAAACAAAGAGATGCAGTTGAGGACGCTGGCCAGAAACAACGTTAGCTCAACGTTACTCTGATAGGGCACTGTTGGATAACGGTATTACTTGCAAGCCATTCATGGACAACGTTCATTTTAATTTAGGTCGTACGAAATGCCAAATAATGTATGACTATTTGGATATTGTAATAGAGGAAATAGCGCTGGTAGTTGGCGTTAGTACTGACTGGTATGGTGCTGCAACGTATCCAGCAAGCTTACGTTAGCATGCATTCATGCAGCTAGTTATGTGAGCTAGCCACTGCTATGTGTTAGCTAAGTTAGCTAGTGAGCAGCAGGCGGCGTTAGTTAACCTGCGCCATTTAAACCGTAATATATCAGCAGCTATGTGTTGAATACTGTGTCATTAGATAGACTAATCAATTCCCTTAACGTTAGCTGGTCTGTTTACTTAGCTTAGCTACCTACATGAGAGGAAAATTACATATCTTAGCAGGCCATGTCAACTTAAACGAACACATCCGGAGACGTGTACACATTACCATTGATTAAATGGTGACAAGCAAGCATGTTTACTAAAGTAATGGCAAGAAAACTCACCCTAAAACCATTAGTCCCCACCACGGCTGTGGCTTGGACGGTGAAGGCTAACCCACCTAGCACCCAGATCCGGTCCCCACAAAAAACGAATGAAATGGGGTCCACTCGCAGATTCCTGTAGAATCTTCCAGAATCGCACCCCCACCCTCTGCTCATTCCAGCTGTGCCTTGCCGCGATGCTGTTGCTTCATCGCACTGAGATGTCACAGCTCGTTTCTCACTTATTCATAGAGCAGCAGAAACGTCTTTCCTCGATAACTGGATTCAGAGAAAAGAGAAGGTAACATTACAGTGCAGCTGAATAAGATTTCACATTTTACCTTCAAACATAGTAGGCCTACAGTTACATGTTTACTCTAAATTGTATAAAAGCAAAAGCACAAAACGGCGGGTCTAAAATGTGCCATTTTCAGTTTACTCCAATATATTTTCTAAACTGTCACAATCTCAGCCTTTAAATGTATTAAAAAATGTTGGAATTATGTATTATGTCACCATACCTTAAGTTGCATTAGGAAGGCTTCGCTATGCTTTTGACAAAATCAAGGTTTCCCTATTCACCCCTCCCTTGTTGTGAGAACTGAAATACGTTGCATTCTTGTTCACATTGTTTGAGAGCCGCCCAGGTCAATAGTTGTAATAGTGTAGTCCCTAAAGATAACAATCCAAAGCCTGTAGGATTTAGCCTACATCTCTGTCCATTCAACCTGAATAGTACTTGTTTTGGATTTGTTAATTGATTGTGTTCATTGTGACCCCGTTTCTTTCTGTTTACACTGCACACTTGAGAGCTTATTTTATTTCCGCTTGACCTGCAGCCTGTATAATATGCATACAGACACTGTTGTGATCTCATCTGCAGGTGTGGTGCTTCATGCTCTTTTCATTTACCAGGCGATGGCCAGACGGCTGTACGGATGGGATGGGGGGCAGATTCCACATGAGGCCTGTTAAAGTGTTGGGACACCTGTGATGGAGTACATCTGGAGGTAGGGTGGAGGTCACATGCCTCTTGTAAGCTACTGTGCAGGTTTAACACACACACAGTCACGCAGGGCCTCCCATGCGCAGCTGTGGGATTGTGGATGCCCAGAGGCAGAACCGGGCCCGTGACATCTATCAGAGGAGAACCTTTGGAGCTGTTTTCGTAGCGCAGCTTCAGACCCGGTTCTTAAGCCTGTAGAGCTCCCCAAAATAGACCCAGGCAGTGGAACTAAGCAGACTTGAAAGTTTACTCTGGCAGTGGATGGTGGAGGTATTTTTAAAGGCTGCTGCAGGCATATGTATCATTCCAGAGGTAAATGCCTAGAGTATTATCATTAACCTGTCAGTCAAACATATCCTCAGGGAACATACGGGACAATGATTGGTTACAGAAATTCCAAAAAGTCTACAATAAGTACTTCATTTTCTGATGATTTTGGCACAGTATTAAAAGCGGCTTTGGTTTCTTTTTTTTTATTTTGGAACTCAAAGGTCAACAAAACTAAACTTCAAACACCTAAGAAATCACATTTACTTATCATTCTGTCTTCCTTAATATAACTGTATTCATTCCATTTATGAAACTCTCCATTTTAGATTCTATGTTTTTAAAACCCGGTCTGCTCTGATTGGCTTGCGAGGTAGTTCTCAAGCTGTATGTCAAAAGACTCAGATGGGGGGAGTTGTATATTTAAGTTAGCATGTGACATACAAGGGGAGCCAAATCTGACTGCCTTTCTGCATCCAACGTTTTTACAGAAAACTGAAACATGTGTTGTCCTATTTCACCTTTTATGGCTTTTTGGAACTCTATATCCCAAAATGTACGTCCTCATGCACTGACAAAGCACTGAGTTTTTAATGATATGCCCCGGTTGTCCATTTTAAAGTAAAAAATAAATAAAAACAGTAACATTTAAAACTCTAGGCTTACTGTATATGGCAATTGCCTTGGAGTCTGTAATCACAACAAAACAAACAAACACATGAGAAATATATGTTGTATTCAGTGGTGGAGAGTAACAAGATACATTTCCTTAAGTAATGTACTCAAGTACAATTTTGAAGTACTTACTACCTGAGTATTTTTTTAATGCTACTTTATAATTCCACTCCACTACATTTTTGGAAGCCAATATTGCACTTTTTACTCCACTATGTTTATTTGACAGCTTTTATTTACTAATGACTTTTTTTACTTAGATTATTAGCTAATACAAAATATAAATACATTATTAAATAAGCATTGACCTATATGTATAGGTTATGATATCCAGCAACAACTGACTGAAGAAAAAAACCTTTCCAACCAATCTATGTCCCCACTTCCTTTGACTTGTTAGCCCACACACCAACACATTATATAAGCTCAAATCATAATAACAACAGCGACAGCATAGATTTGTAGTTTCTAAAATGTTTTAATTGATGTATTACAATGTGTACATTTTCATCAGGTAAACATTTACATTATAATGATCATTTCATTTGTTTTTAGATAGCTTCAGTGTTTTAGTATAACGGTCCTGCTCTGGACAAGATACACAAGACCTACGCTGTTTCCAACCACAGTCCATTTGTATGCATGCAAACATTACTTCATATCTTCTACAAATGATTAGATAATATCAAAGGCAAACAGGAACAGTCTATTGGCGAGAAATGCAATCACTGTTCAGTACATCAAAGTTAGAGATCAAGCAACGGACTATATCTTATATACACAGTTCATGTTGTTAGAAGGCCCTCTCTCTCACAGATTGCACTTACCAGAGAAACATTTTTAGTAACCCTGCATCTGGTAATGAATGATAGGGTTTAGCTGGGACTTCAGTGTGTGCATGCAGTTCACTGAATGAGTATTGATGTCTTCAGATACTTTGTCTTTGGGACAGCTCTCAGGATATTTGGTTTTTGACAGTTTTAAGCTGCAGCATGACTCTCCACCCATAGCATCTTCTGTCTATCCGTCTGTGTTTTGGTGAACTATCTTTGGATACATTTCTTTCTTCAGTGACAAGAAAGTAGTCATCAAGTGGCAATACACCAGCAAATTGATCATTGACTTCAGCGACACTACATCACATTCAATTACTCACAGTATGTAGAGTTGTTAGTACCTGGCAACCAACATCTAAAATTCTGACTGATATTACATACAACATAATTACTAGGCCAAGACAGAGACAAGAAAATAAGTTACTTGTGATGTTTTTGTTTTTTTATTGGAATTGGAATTGGTGATTGTGCTTTATCTTATAATATGTAAACCTATTTAAAACTTAATTTTAACTTTTCTGCTTTTTTAAATTTAGATTGAGTGTCTTTAAGGATGCACTGGAGATACTCACAGAAATGCTGAGATGATGTGGGGGAACTTTTGTTAGATTACCTTTAGGGAACTCTGGCCCATATGAACTGTCCCCAGTTAGCAGCAGACTCACAATTTATATACGCACTACTGCATTTGAGAAAGAGACCCAATTCAATACGGAAACATTTGCAAAACTACATTATAAAGATAACAATAAAAGTTTCCATGGCACTTCTTTTATTTCTGTTTGCAGCTGAATGAACCTCCCTTCAGTGTTTTGTGCTCAAATAGTCTTATTAAAAGCTGAACAGATCTAAAATAAGGGTTATATTCTGAGAAAGAAATCTGATATATACGATGGAAATGTACAAGTAAAAACTTGAATATTCTCTGAGGAGATACATTTAATAAAAAACAAGGAACGTCATTGTGTTTCAGCTGGATGAATAGACTTCATCACACCACTGACTCCAACCCTTGAGGTGTATTTACCAGCAATAGAAGACCTAATCAAATTATATTTTGCAATCAAATTCAGCAGTAAAAAAATACACTTTAGCCTAGATTCACATTATCATGGGCATCCAGATTTTAAATATACATTGCAATAAATTGGGCCTATTCAAAAGAAAACAACAAATTGATTTGGATAAGGTGATACTAATAGACAGATTACAGATTAATGATACCACTTTAATTCTCAGAAAACATCCTAGTTTGTTTATTGTAAATGTGCGCGATAAGGTTATTTTTTAGAATATTCCCCGTTTCCTGCACACTATCATTAGTTTTTCTCAACCTACATTAGCCTTGATATGCAGAGTCTGAAGACATAAAAATAACAAGAAATACATTTTGTGACAGAAGCTTTAATCTGTTTGTTTTTTTAATAGGATTGAATCTTTTTAGACATATCTGTAATAACTGCACTGTAAATGTATTTGTTAGCTTGACATTGATGCTCTTCTTATAATAATGACACATTTAGATACATTTGTGCTTGAGTTAATAAAAACCAAAATCTCCAACGGGACAGAGCAGGCTGTCCATATCTGGTTGTGATAAACACCAGCATTAGTTTAAGCCTGCTATTCTGCCACAAGTACAACACACTTCTATAAGAATATTACTAGCCTCACTTGCAGCGTCTTGATGAGAAGCTATGATATTTGCACTGGTAAATAACTCATTTTAATATTAGTCTGATGCCCTACAGACGATATGAGAGCCAGCGTTGTCATGTTTCCACATAATCATTATACTCTCTTTACTGCAACTCAACCTCAGTTCCAAGCTTCATGTTGACTTGGAGTGGCTTTGCTGCCAGGAGTTTATTCATTAATGCTTGTTATGCTCTGCTTGTATATTAAAGACTCATCACACCTGCAATGTACAACTTTTGCCAATGAAACAACAGGCCAGCTATCTGAAGTGTTAGTGCAGCGCTATCGAGTGGTACAGTGAAGTGAAGTAGTTGTGTAGGCCGACCCAGAACTTAGCATCACAAGAGCTACCTAGACTAAAAGTTATGGGATTTTCCATAACATTTTGAAATATTGCAGAACATAGCCAACATAGCCAACACATGTTTATGATACACGTTTTGTTCAGCAGTATAATTTTGACATATTTAAAAAATATTTTACTTCTGGCCAATGCGAAAATGCATTGGCCAGAAGCAAACCGCTAACGTTAGGCTCTAAAACAAACAAACAAAATCCCGGTCACATGACTGAGCATCACCACTGACTTGTAATATTATTTGCCTATACTTATAACTTTAAGTAGTCTCATTAAGCCACTGGTTAGAAGTTTCAGTTGTTAAGACTTATAAAAGCTTCAGACATTCACCATTGCGGGGTTTACTGACGTATTTTATATTGCAGAACAAAACGTGAATATAGCGTAAGCTTGAGGCACCTAAACAAAAACAAAAGGTACATTGACTTTAAAACAACTCATTGCCGGGTTTAAGACTCATTCCTGCACCACTCTATTGTCAGTTAACTTATACATTTCAACAATAACTTTTAATACACACTTCAAAAGCCCTCTTGGCCAGTAGCTAGTGCAGATAGTCACACATGTAGGTGATCCTCACACTTGCTGATGCTAAATGCTCCCTTTCTGAAATCCCAGTCTTCTGTTCCATTCTTCAACAATACCCCAAAAGTGCAGAAGCCGTTTTGTTTGTTTTTTGGCACGATCAGTATATAGCACCATGAAAGTCCTGCCAAGCAGTCTGTTTGGATAGAATTCGTTCATGTTGAAGCATATTCATACATCTTCAAAGTAACACTGGCTTGTTAGCACCAGCTGGAGAAATATGATTAGCCTATCAGCAGGGTCCAGGGTGTGTGCCTGCCGCGCTGCCAGTCCCTCCACACCACCAGGATACAGAGCTAGCAGAGTTAGCCACGGGGCGGTGAAGCTAATCTACTCTGGCCTGTCAGAGATACTGTTGTTGAAAGTAATCTCTTTTATCTCACTTTCCACTTTGGTTTGATGTTGGGAAAAGCTATGGCTTATCATTTGGTAACTCATGGCAGGGAACCGTTGCATTCCTTTGCGTCCCCCCTCCCCCGTTTCTTTGTTCATTTGATCTGTTATCATCCCTTATTTTATTGCTCTTGTGTCGTCGCTGAACTAGACTTTGTGTTTGCAAACACATTTTGTGCTTTGTTTTTACCTAGTTACCAGATGGGTGGGGTAATGGACAAATAGGACAGTACAATGAGACGTTACAATCTATTTCACATATTGTGTAAAAAACCAACACAATCCTTTATCTGATCATCTTCCTGGATTGTCCTGATGCAGTTATTCCAGCCGCTCTAGTGCTAACAGCTCCTGTGGTATTTCACGTCTGATTATCTGGTAGGGTTGATGCAACATCATTTTGAACAATCATCTACTGAAGCTAGACTAGAGAAAACAACACATTTTGCTCTCTAACAAAGATCACAATTACCTGTAGCTTTAAAGCGCATGTGTCTAAAGACTTTCGGTCTTGAAGTTCACATAGAAACAATACACAACAAGTGCTCAAACAAATCTGTGATCACATACTCTCACACACAGAAAACAAAATAGCAAAATAAATCAATGGTTTCCTTTTTGTTGCGCAGGCTCAAGTACCGGCCTCAGGTGAAGCGAGGCTTTAGAGCAAAGTCCTTTCCTCGCGTAGTTCTACTAATAAGCACCAGTAGAATCCAGCTGGTCCTGCCCCTCCCCCCCCTCCCAGCCCATCCACTCCTCAATCCCTCAGCGTAGCAGTCATTATCTGGTGGCATTCCAGATCCCCTCGTGGCTCCAGTGGGCCCGGCAGTCTCATGCCCGTCTTCTGGTCCACACACCAGCACTTTCCCCGCAGGCCGTCACGTGCGGGATGACACTGCAGGCAGAAAAGATATATACATATTCTAGTAACTTCTAACAAGTCTCTTCGACTGCAGGTTCAAATATTAAAGCTGCTCTACTCAGCAATGCCATGTATGATAATCATATCTTTACTTTAATGTTGTCCTCCCCTGTGAATAATGCCAAAAAGTGCCACAATGTTTGATCATTTTACCAATTTGCGACTCTTCCAATATCTTTTCTCACAAGGTGGCATTTGGTATCTACTCTTATGACCGACTTTTTAGGGGGCTAAATAATGTATCTCTTAGCATCTCGCTCTGGAAATGAGCCTGCCTAAAACACTGCATGTCTAAAGCCTGTTTGTCTGACCTGTGCTTTACTTCCCAATAGGGTTTATCACAGTGCACATTTGGTTAAACAGTAAACAGACGCCTGTGAATGTGAGCAGGCAGATACTTTAACCGCGTTACACAATCAACACAACGGAGATTGTGAATGTGTTAGCAGAGCTTTCTTTTATCACTCACTCTGTGTCTGCTTTCTGCTTTGATTGTCTGAGCAGTCTTATCTGTGTTATCTTCTCTGATTGTCTACCTCTTATCTGCGTAGTTGCCCAATCGTGCAAACGCACAATAACAAAAAAGTGACAGCCTCAAAGGGCTAATTGCATCCATAACAGTAATAAAGTGATTTTTGGTAATTGTTTAGAGAAAACCACTTTAACAAACCATTGGTCTCTCTTCGACTCCACAAATCACTGCAAAAAAAGGTCTTGGCATCTCCGTGACAGTCTGCTTGGAGCAAGTCTGTGTTGTTATTCCACTAGTAAGACAACACTTCATCTTCTGCAGGCATGTTTTGCGTTATGTTCCTGATGAAGTTTGAAAGATTTGTCTTTATACTGGCTTTATAATATGGCTTCACAGTTTGCCAGTGCACATGGCCAAATAGTGTTCTGCTCAGTCATTCAATAAAGCCTGATCACAGACCTGTTTAGTGTGGAAATCTCCGTTCCTGTCACAGTTGGGTATTGGGATCGTGAAGAGATCGTCATGTGTGCGGCTATTTGACGCCAACCTGTCCAACGCTCTCTGTAGCTCAGCACGACATGGAGCCTGTAGGAGAAATCACTTTGTTATTTGATGTCTGTACACAACAGCATTCCGGATCAAGTTGGGCAGCACAATGTAGTCTGTTTTAGATCTTGATAGGGATGTGCTGTGCGATAATCAAATCTCGGAACACTGCACATTCAAATGTTAATATCGAAACGACAACACGGTGTGACCACTGCTAAGCTAAAGGAGGCTAATGTTCGGTGTGATGACGTTTAGTTAGTCAAATGTAGTCACTTTTTAGCAACCGCTGTTTTTATGACACATAGAGGCTTTGGAGATTCTCCAGTGGGATGTTCAGTGGTGTATTTTATGTCATATAAAATGTTAAAATCTCTTGTGTTAACAACAGAATATATGTCAGGCTTCTAACAAAAAACACGTTCACAAACCATTGACTTTGTGAACAATGAACCAGAAGTGGTAAAATGCTAACTCAATTTCAGGGTTTAAGGAGTGCACCACTCTGAGGAGGAATGTTTGAAATAATGTCTTTAAAGTATCATTTGTTATACTTTAGCTGTACAGTGAAGGCAGCAGTAAGGCAGAGCTTCAACTTGTGTATGATTTTATTCGTTGCAACTAAAATGGTTATCGGGAAATTAAACAAATGAAACTTCAATGTTCCCAATTGTGCACTCAAACTATTATTGCTGATCTTCAGAAAACAAAATAGGGAGAACATTTAAATGATAAACTTCAAATGAACCACCACATGTAAAAACATCATTCCAGTTTGGCAAAAATTGAATGAACACCAAATATGCAATAAAATAAAAAGTGGAATTTTAAAGTGGGAAATAAATACCAGGCAACTATATGAATTGAGCAATACCAACTTTAACTTTGCTATCATGATTTATATGATGATATAAATCAAATAAAGCAAATCCGGCATAAAAGATAAACTCAACATCGCAGAGGTTTATATTACCAAAGCCAACTAATGATTGCATGTGAATGCATCATTGTGGCCGATTTTTATAATCAATCCGCAAAGCCAATCCAGCTGCTTCACCACAAGTCTTTAAATCCTAACCTATATGCGGGAGACACATGGACATGTTTCGCAAACGTCTGTGTTAAATGAATGCACTAAAATGTGGCAAAAGCAGTCTGTGACTGATTAATGTGGATGTTATGATCCCCCTCTTGCCAACATTAAAGCATCAAATTGCATGCTGATGTCAATGTGCACCTGTACTTTATTCCGCAAGACCGCAATTAAATGTTACGGTCTGTAAATAACAAATTTGTACATTTATAACCTGACTGTTACGCTTGTGGCTTTGGAAATATAAAGCCTTAATGTGAAACACCTGCTGGGCTGAGGCTTTTGCAGCAGAAGAGATTGCCTGAGTTTGTTGTTTTCTCTGTACATGTCAGAAGACGTTGCTCTCACCAGTGCCGCCTTGGCCTCCTCCCGGGCGTTGTTATTTCTCTGGTTGGATTTGGGAGGGTGTCGGGCCAGGGTCTTCTGTATGCAGCGCTTGTCCTGCGGACTGCAGCGGATGTTGCTGTTGTTCGGGTGTTCAGGGATGATCTCATCCTGCCTCTCCATTGCTAAAGGACGAGGGGAAATGTTTTAGTTCCTCCATGTCAACAAATTGGAAATTGCACTGACGTCAAGTATTACATAAACAGTTGTAGGAGGCTGAACTGACATTGTTCCACATTTCCAAACTTTTGTTGAGATTTTCAATGAAGCTCTAAATGTCTGTCTTCATATTTTGTGACATCCCCCCAAAAAACTATTTAAAATCCTTGAAGGATTATCCCTTAAAATTAATAAACGGGTTCAAAAGAAGAAGCCCTATTATGTGACATGCTTTAATGTTTAAAGATGTCGGCAATGTCCCGCCCCTTAGCCTATAACAATGTGTAGGAGTGCTAGCCAGTGCGAGTGTTACATAGTGATGTCACTATGTGAACAAGTTTGTGAGAGCTAAATTCCATCTGGAGGGAACTTTATTCAGGATTTTAGCCTTTGATGACCATTTACATGCACAAAAACCTATAGAAAACACTACAGGATAGGAAACCCCTCAAAAGCATTAAAGGGCCTCTTTAAATTAGTGAGGCATTTTTAGTTAATCAACCTGAATATACCATGTCAGAATGAACCTCCATTAATGTGCAGCAAGTGGGAGAGAACAGTTTACAAATGTTGGATTGAAAAATTATATTTTGTTGTTGTGAATTTTGGAAATAATTACATCCATCCTTCTCCAATAACAGTAGACTTTTGGACTTTTACAATGCTCTGGAGTTATTTTAAAATGTTGTTTTGCACAAGTCAGTTACACAAGACTGTGTAATCGAATTCTACAAATACTTCATATGATAATATTTATAAGTACAGTTTTCTTTTTTCTGCCTCCGTGCACAGATACAGACTTAAAACACAATGAATACCATGCAAAGACATTTAATGCTGATTTATAATTCAATGTGTTTTAATGATATGAGCACAATATGAGGCAATGAGTCCTTGTCCACCATGTTCAGCTATATGCCATGTGATGTAGGCTAAAAAGGAGGCCAGGTTAACCTCAAGGACACAGAGCCATGTTCCCGCTCTGGGGGGTAATCTGCTCTACTCCTGCACCACCGCCATGCCACCAGCTCTGAGGCTTTTTATACCATACCACCCCTGTCCTACCACCCTCTGTACATTATGGTCTGTGCCACATTCACCTTTGCATCCCTATAATCCTGCAGATCTGCGGCCCTTCAGGCAGACAGCTGCTTCCTCAGGAAATGCCCCCCTCCCTCCTCATTCTCCACCCCTCCACAACAACCTCCCTCCGTGCCAGATGGAGGTTGTTAGAGGGTATTTGCACTGTCACAAGTGTGTGTGTGTGTGTGTGTGTGTGTGTGTGTGTGTGTGTGTGTGTGTGTGTGTGTGTGTGTGTGAAGATAGCTAAAATGGGGGTAAGGGGTTTTGTGTGTGCTTTTTCACCTGTGGCCAACAAGACTTGGCAGAGTGTAGTCTTTTTGCTCATAACCCGGGGCATTTTACAGATTGGCACTAGAATCAAAGCACTTTAATCTGTGTGTGTGAAGCTGTTCTCGCTCCGATCATTGAACCAGATCTGAGCCATGGTTAATATCGAAGGTCACTGCCAGGTATTCACTGAATAGCTCTTGGCAAAGAAACATCAAGGTGGCTTAGTACTCTTCTTAATCTTGTGCAATGTGCAGCTTTTTTTCACGTCCACATACAAACAATCCAAACCATCCCAAGCTTTAGTCCGAGCCCCGCTGTTTACAGGAAATTGATGCTGGGCCATTTTTGGGATATTATAATTTTTTAAACAACTTGGCGACCTGTGTTGGAAGGTGACCGTGTGTGTCTAAACTTCACAGACATTTTGCTCCGCTTGTCTTTCCGTGGGGAAGTGTCTCTCGGCTGTTTGTATTTTTAGTCTTGTTGCTGTTAAGGCTCACCGATTCAGCACTTTGTTCCACAAGCGCCAACAGAGTTTCAGCTGTTTCTTTTCTTCCAAGTTGTTCTTTCTCCTCTTTCGCCAATTCAAACTTTTCCGATTCTGAGTTTCTCAGTAAGGAGAGCCAAAGTGATGTTGAAGTGGGTCAGGGGTGGCATGTCCTGTTTGCTACCACTGCTGTTTTCTGCAGAGGAAGTTGCCACTGCTCTGTTTTCATTTGATTTGGATCAGCAGCTCGCCTGCTGTGCATTATCAGCCATGGAGCTGATACAGTGCTCTGCCAGTCACAAGTGCACAGCAAAAATAAATACATCTTGATAAACATCTATGCTAAACAATCTAACTTAGATTCAGAAACTGCCTTCACCTGTCTTTTTTTGTTTTAATATGTTGTCATTCTAAGCCAAAAGAGAATCCCCTTAGTGAGACATTTGTACAAAAACCTGAGATGCACCTTTTAAAAAAATAACATAATATCCACTCTATTAATACAAATATGCTGAGGATTGCTACAGGATGCTCATGAAGCGTGGTGCATAGATTACCCATTTACATTTGAGTCTGAAGACCCTAACAGGAGCTGCTGAGTATCCTTACATCCCAGTTCCATCATGTCTGTATATGTATGTATCTATATGTATAATATTTTAAAAGTAACAGCAAAGTGGTAAACCTATGTAAGAAGTCATGACGGTTATATTTTGCAACTATAGAATGTCCCACTCAGTTCATATATTGGTCACAATCATAGGCTGGATAAAATGTGGACCTTGTCTCTGTGATATGGTTATTCAAGAGCCAATGTTCAGTTCACCACCAAAATTATCCAAACTCTTGGCTAATCCAAAATGGGAGGAGAGGTGGATCCTTGGTGGCAGACCCGGCCAGCAGCTAGAAACCTGTGACCTCACCCACCTGTCACTCAATGTGGCCGTGCACGTCATTTTGCATAATTTTTAGGAAATAATATAATCATAATAAGTGGTTTCAATTGTTTTTATCTATTTCATTTTATACACTCATTATATAGAGACCACAAAAAAGTGTTTGTACCAGGATGGTAACATGTCTATACGGCTGTAAAGCTGGTCATTTGAACATGTATCTGTATAGGGATTGACTTGCATTTTTGATCGAGCTTAAAGTGGAATGTTAAGGAAATGTAGCTTTTGCATTCCGCAAATTTGTCACAATGTAACCAAAATGTCAAGTATTCCATATAGAAAGTAGTTCTTTGTTTGAGCAATTTTTTTACTTTTTTACTTTTTGTTGCAGTGATGTAGGACTGTACCTCAGGGCGTGTTATACACTGTGACATCACTGATGGGTGGGGTTAAAAATGCAACTGGTGCGTAGTTCTAGGTGTCCCATAGCCCATGAAAACATTGTAAACGATTTGTCTTTTCCTTTGAACCCATCCTCACTATTTAGTGCATTGAAGAGTCACGGCTCAGTGCACAGGCATCAGATCTTTTCCTGAGGCCTTTGCCTTAGCCGGGGTCATTCCTGTTCCTCCACCTTATTCATCCATGTTTTATAAACACAGGGATTAGATTGCTTTTAACAAAGAATCGCTCCATAAACCTTGCCCAGAGAGGCTTATATGTCAATTTCATTTCAAACTTTCACAAGATGCGGGAAAACATTGAGTGTAATGTTTTGGTTCTTGTGACAGAGATAGAAATAATAGATTATACTATATTGACAGCAACTAATCTCCTGAAAAATGAACACTCTTTGGGTAAGCCACTCTTCCAAAGTGTTTGATAAGTGTTTTTACAACACAGAGAGCTGGCAGACAGCTCCAAAGTCAACTAGGCCTTGTTCCAAAAAAGTGTTCACTTTAGTCAACACTGGATCCTGGTTTCCTGGCAGGAGCTTTCTTTGAATCAGTTAATCATCTGAGTCAATATTTGGGGCACTCCTAAAAACACTGTTAAAGACTACTAGGGGTAAAAAGGCCAGTGGAAATGTTGGATAAGGGTCATTTGTCAAAGAAAAGATAGTTAAATCAACAGTGAATCACAAATGCAACCTTTGTGAAAAGGAAAACTGCTGGACTGACTGATGCTTCTTTGGCCACTTTGCTTTCTACTGATGTTATAAAACAGACATCCTGAAGTACGACACGTCTGAGCCTGAATCCAAAGAGAGCAGGGCAGCACCAGTTGTCTGTCCTTTTTCTTTAACACTTTTACAAGCAGATCATCTTAAAGACAAACATTTTAGTGAGGGATAAAAAATACACATTCCTACTTTCAATCATAAACTGCTGCGAAAATCAAAGAAACTGCATCCCAAAAAAAATAAAGCCATGATCATCTCCCAGTTAGATTACCTTCAGTACAAACATTGCTTTGATCTTGACAAAAACCCTTTGGATTGCACTGGTGGAAATCAAACATGGTTTTATATCATATGTCATATCAATTCAATACAGAGCAGTGTTTCCCCCAGGATGGAGTCATAGCAGCATAATGTGAGCGCGTGGAATTCTTTAGTGCGTGCGAAGTGCGCCCCGCCAATTTGTTTCTATGAGTCTGCCAGCACAAGAAAGGCTCTTGAGGCCTAGTACCAGGGCCGGTTCTAGCCAATTTGCTGCCCTAGGCGAGATTTTAGGCGAGATTTTATATATAAAGATTAAATGAAAAATACAAAAGACAAAAGACAAATACACTACAAAAACAGAAACTTATTGACATAGGTGATATACGTCAAAATGGCTTCGAATGTATTCAGTACTGTATGAACATGTTTTAATTGGGGGGTGGACGTCACATCCTCTAGGGGGGTCCGGGGGTATGTCCCCCGACAAGATATTTTTGAACATTTTAAAGTAAAATGCTTCAATCTGATGCACTTTGAGCACACAATTACTAGAGACCTGATCTAAGGGGTACAACTCTAAAACACCCATATGAAAAAAGACTGGTTTACATTTTAATAATCAAATAAGTATGTGAACATAACCAATAACCTACCATAGCCAATAACAAATAAATGTAGCTTATTTTATTTTTGTTGTTCATTCATATCTTATTTTACCTTAGTTAACATTTATTTATTTATGCATATTTTTGTTATCTCTCCAACTTTAAACGAATATTTTGGTTTAATGTCCTATAGTATACATTGGAATGATTTCAAACCTGTTTTTATTTATCCTAATAATTATAAAGGTGTGCCTCTTTACTTAATTA